ACAAACAAACAAACAATTCTTGTGGTATACATTCTAGGATTTAACTCATCCACGTAGATTAATTTACTTATCTGGATGTTTTTTTTAAGTTTTTTTTTTTTGGCGAAAGCTCAGATGAAGTACAAAAAAAATTTTGTTTTTACTACCAGGTGGCAAGGTACATTATAAAACGTCGTCATTCGCGTGACTGGCGTCATTTTTAACTGCTGGGATTTAAAAAAAAAGAAACCGTAAACGAAGAACCAGCACATTCTTTACATCCACACCAAACTGTAGTCGAGACTACTGGGTAGATGAACGAAAGGAAGAGTAAATCACAACGTCATCAAACCGTTTCCTAGCAACCTTTTACGACCCATGTTCCACCATCACTCTATTAACATTCGACTCGTAAGTAAATAAAACCTGAACTTAAGTACTTACTCTTCAAGCACCGGTTATTTTAGTGCCTATCAGATGGTGGGCTCATACACACTCATTACTCCGATGAAAAACAACTACGAGTACACGTGGTTACACTACACGAGTTTTGTTAAATCCCTACTGGTTTATTTAATAACCATTCGTTATTCATACACGTGTTCTCCTAGTAGGATCTGGGTTTGTTTAAAGTAAAAGGTCACGTTTTTTTCATCCGCGAAAAAAAAAACAGATTTAAATAAACAAAGGTGAGCCTGGTATACAGTTTGTTTGTTTTGAATTTCGCGCAAAGCTACACGAGGGCTGTCTCCACTAGTCGTCCCTAATTTAGCAGTGCAAGACTAGAGGGGAGGCAGCTAGTCATCACCACCCACCGCCAACTCTTGGGCTACTCCTTTTACCAACGAATAGTGGGATTGACCGTCACATTATAACGCCATCACGGCTGAAAGGGCAAGCATGTTAGGTGTGACGGGGATTCGAACCCACGACCCACAGATTGCGAGTCGAGCGCCCTAACCACCTGGCCATGCCGGGCCACGTGTAGAGTGATTTTTTTTTTTTATGCACGAGCTGTACATCAAAAGACAAAATCTTTCTAGGCGAGCATGTTTGGTCGGACGGGGATTCGAACCTGCGACCCGCACATTGCGAGTCCAGCGCCCTAACTAGACTATCTGCGCTAGATGTTCCTAATTATGAAGCGAAAGATTAGAGGGAAGACAGCTACCTAGTCTATATCACCAACAGCCAACTTTCGGACTACTATTTTAACAACGAATAGTGGGACTGACCGTCACATTATAATCCTCCTACGACTGTAAGAGGCGAGTACGTGATCGATGTGTAAAAAAAAATGTGTTTTAATGGAGTTTTTAAACCTTGGAATTATAGTTTGAAACACGTTTTGGTACCTATTGTCTGAAAATTTCATGTTGGCCCGGCATGGCCAGGTAGTTAGGGCGCTCGACTCGCAATCTGAGGGTCGCGGGTTCGAATCCCCGTCACACCAAACATGCTCGCCCTTTCAGCCGTGGGGGCGTTATATTGTCACGGTCAATCCCACTATTCGTTGGTAAAAGAGTAGCCCAAGAGTTGGCGGTGGATGGTGATGACTAGCTGCCTTCCCTTTAGTCTTACACTGCTAAATTAGGAACGGCTAGCGCAGATAGCTCTCGTGTAGCTTTGCGCGAAATTCAAAACAAACAAACAATTTCATGTTTCAGAACTTAAGCGTTTCAAACTATTGTCTACTGCGTACGTATGCATATAAATAAACACGCCTAGCAGCTGTGAGACTTACGAGGCTCTAACATTAAAAACGAGGGTTAAAATCTGTTTCAAAAAGTTTCACGATACATTTTAAATCCCCTAAACGCTAAGTCATGCCTGCATCCATTCGTAACACACAGCGACTGGTCGATTTTCTTTTTTAGGGTATGAAAGATTCATTATCCTTTTCTGCGAAATTACCGTGATAGATATTTATTTCTCTACACGAGTACAAATATATATAACACGGTACACACGTTTCCTCCCGTGTTTACACGAACACACAGGCAGATCACTGACCTGAACATAAAGTCGCTCGTGATTAATAGCATTGAGCCGGCTTCAAATTGATAGCGCACACGAGATGAGTCCGACAGCTTTATAAAAGTCGCCTTCAAAGATAGGTCGTTTTAAATGAGCAAACTGCCCTTTCAAGAAAAGTGCTTCTTATAAAGACTTTCAATAATAATGCGATTAGAGCTCCGGACCATGGGTTAACTAAAAGAAAAAGTTCTTGAATAAAATGTGATTTTGGCATGAAGTTAAGAAAATATTACAAACTACATTTAACTCTGAGATGGTCCCTTGTTGTCAGAGAAGATACAAATTCAAGTAGTTAGTGCTAATATGGCATTTAGAGGGCCAATATAAAATAAATTATAAAATCCGTGCCTTACAGAGCTTTCTATCGTAATTGTCAATTTTCTCAATTAAACTCTCAGCAGTCACCTCCACTCCTACATCCAATATCGAAACCAGAATGTCTATCCATATATTCAACTTTTCTACTGTCCAGATAGCTCGGTAAACATTGGCACAATTTATCTAGGTCTCGCTGGACATTATGCAAATCTTGAGTGACCATTGCCCCTTCCCTATTTGAGAATTTTACAAGACTCTTCCCTGGAACACTACTAGTCCTAATAATGGCTACCACCACTAAAGAATGATTGATTCTCAGAGTGTTATTAATGGTAATTACTAATCGTCGAAAGATAGGCTCATGCCCATGGAAACAGTCCCTAAGAGAGGGATTTGGTTCTCCTACACAAGCTGCAAGGCAAAGAAAACATTATCGTGTATCGTAGAGAACACAAGCTACATGGCAAACAAAACATTATCGTGTATCGTAGAGAACACCAGCTACAAGAAAACAAAACATTATTGTATCGTAGAGAACACAAGCTACATGGCAAACAAAACATTATCGTGTATCGTAGAGAATACAAGCTGTCAAGGCAAACAAAACATTATCGTGTATCGTAGAGCACAAGCTGTCAAGGCAAACAAAACATTATCGTGTATCGTAGAGCACAAGCTGTCAAGGCAA